TTATTAGCCATTCGAGTGTCATCCTTTGTGAATCATCTCTTCAGGTCCTGCGCCCATCTTATCAGATGATTGTTAGTTTTTTTTCTTGTTGTAGGCTCGTAGTATACTGTAGATTTTACTAATTAGTCCTTTGTTATGCTATTGGTCAATTGATCTTCTTCTAATCTGTGGGCTCTCATTTTACTCTTTTAATGAAATCTTTCCATGTACCACAGTGCTTTATGTTTAATAAGTTCTGTTATCTATTTTGTTTTCCATGGAGTGTGCTTCCTTTTCATAGCTGGCGGCCTGTGCATTCCTTGTCCTAGGTACTTAGATTTGTCCCAGTTTCCTCACTGATGACTCTGATAGCATTGGGTTTTACATTTAGGTCTTTGATCCACCTTGGATTTGTTTTTTGTACATGGGGTGAGATATGGGTCTTGTTTCATTCTTATGCAGATGGACATCCAGTTTTCCCAGCACCATTTATTGAAGAAGGCGTCATCTCCTTACCATTTAATACTTACTGGGCTTTGTCAAGATCACTTGTCTGCTCAGATATTTATATTTCTGAGTTTTCTCTCCTGGTCCATTGGTCTGTGTATCTGTCCTTATACCGGAACCAGGCTGTTTTGACGGCTGGGACTGTGCAGTGGGTTTTGAGATCAGGAAGTTCCAGACCACATACTTTGTTCTTGTTTTTGAGGAGGGTTTTTTTTTGCCTATTCTGGGTTTCTTCCCTTTCCCATTGAAGTCGGTATTTAGTTTTTCCATTTATTTAAAGAATGATGCTGGAATTTGAATTGGGATTGCATTGAATTTCTAGATTGTTTAGGTAGTATTGACATCTTCACAATATTGAATCTTCTGATCCATACAACGTTGCACTTCAAGATCAGTTTTGGTATGTTCTTTCTGCCAATGAATGTAGTGCTATTTCAATTTGTCATTCCAGGTATAGTAAACTAAATGATCGTTGATTCAAAGTGGCCGATATCAGTCTATTTCAGCTCACTAATGCCTAGGATACCGATCTTTATGCATTCCACTTCATTTTTCATGACTTCCAGTTTTCCTAGATCCATACTTTGTACATTTGTACTCTGATTTTAATGGATATTGGTCATTGTTTCTTCCCGTTTTGACCCGTTACTATCAGATTAAGGCCTGAAAATTTTTGTTCCCTCTGTTTCGTTTGAGATCAATTACTTTGAGGAGGCAGCACTTCCCCAGTCATATTTTGAGTGCCTGTCAACCCGATGGCTCATTCTCCAGCAATATGTCTGACAGTCTCCCAACTGCTGTGCACAGGATTTCAGTGGCCAATCTATGGAAAGTGTATTGCATATTCATTCTTCTTGGTCTTAGTGTGGAAGCTTTGCTGAAATCTTTCACCACAGGTGACCCTGCAGGTATTTGTAATCATGGTGGCATAGCTTCCAGCATTATAGCAACGTGCAAGCCACCCCCATGCAGTACGACAAAGGGACAGATGAATGGTGATACTTGACATGATGTTATATTATGTACTAGCTTATGAAAATGCTAAAATATTTCAGCAACTGGTTCAGCCATTGTGGTGCGTGCAGCTTTAATCTCAGCTCTAAAACAGTACATAACATCAGCAGGAGCAATGGCAAATGGTCAGGGGCCAGGAACTCAGGATCTCTGAACTTTATGACAGGATTAGACTACTTCCGGGGCTCTTCACCAGGAGTCCTGAATTCCTGTACCTGATTGGCGTCAGAGAGTTTGTGAGCACCAGAGATTCTATTCAAAATATCAAGTGCCCCTGTGATTTTCTAAAGAAAATAATTTTTGTCTGTGAAATTCTTGAGGGGAGTCCGTGACACAAATATCCATAGTTAAGAATGAGTGGAATAACTCAACCCCTTAAAGTTTCCTTTTCTAATGTTCTACAAATTTGATTCCAAGGGTTCACTGTCACTTTATTGGCAATTTTTTGAGTGTTGCTTTGTGAGAATACTGGAGAAGCACATTTATGCTTGCATAATTCTCTGAAGTCTCAAAAGGAGCCTTTCAAGTTCCATATTGTCGTCACGATTACAGATTAGGAACTGAAATTTTTATAACACCTATCACGATAGTGATTGTTTGTGAGGTCATTTTTTATTAATCGCTCTCACTGACGGCACGCTCTCTGAGAGAGCACAAACTAAGTCTCTTGACCACCATGTAACTTGACACCACGCTGAGCACTTTGTATGTTAAACAAAAACAAGAATGAAAAATCATGTTAGTGGATCTGACTTGTGGCAGCCCCATGTGTATGGAGTAGATTTTGCAGAAAGACTTGTTCTGTGAGTCCATGTAAATGACATGTAGAGCCAGGAGTCACGTGGGGCTGATGGGTCAGGACCTACCTCAGGAGGGCTCTGAGTCAGGATTCTTATCTGATGGTGAGGTGCACACTCTTGTCAGCACTGCCTGTGGAGCCAGATACACTTTCCAACCTGTAGGCAGTATGACAGCATCAAAATCACATGGAATACTTGTTAAAAATTCCCATTTTTAAACTCAATTTCATGCCTATTCTCAAACTCCACTCTACCCCCCAAATCAGGACAGTTTGCGAATTCACTGCTTTCGGGAAAATGCAGTGGCTTCTTTAAAAGGTCAATTATCATTTATAGTATTTAACTCTGACTTTTCATATGTGGTATTTACATACTTAAATAAAAGTCGTGTTTTTATATGAATAATTCAGGTGGATTTTATGAAACATTTTTTAGGTGCAGGCTACAGTAGTTGGTTTTCTAGCAGCTGTGGCAGCGATCATATTGGGCTGGATTCCAGAGGGGAAATACTACCTGGATCATTCCATCCTCTTATGCTCTAGCAGCGTAGCAACTGCCTTCATCGCATCGCTCCTGCAGGGTAAGTTAGATCCACAGTTTCTGTTTCACGGTTGAGGACGCTTTGTATTTAAATGGGACAAGTAAACCTGCCTGAGAAGGAAAGCACCAGTGTTCCCCAGTACAATGAGCGAAAGGAAAGTGCTCAGATTGCACCTTGTCAGAGGCGAAAACTCGAGGAACCTGGAAATACCAAGAAGTCCTGTCCCATTCCATCTCTCCAGGTTTCCCTGTGCCTGTGTGTTATCACAGCAGAGAAAAGTGACCTGCAAACTTTAAAACAGCTTAATTCCTTCAGTTATAACGATGCTTAAACTATACTTATATTGATAACTGTAAGCTTCGGTGTGGAGCAGGCTGTTTGAGTTGGTCTTTTGGCCATGGGAACTCTGATACAGCTCCCAAGATTAGGGAAACATCCCCAATAGTTCTTTCTCCAAGTTAAATGAATTAGGAAACTCTTTTCTGGAAATCATTACAAGGTATTTCCTAACTTGTTATGTGAATATTAACAAATATTCCAGGAATTCTTAGTTTCAAAAGCCGTTCTTTAAAAATTTCGCCCCCCCCCCAACTACCAGAACCCCAATTCTGCCTTGCAGACCTGGCTAGACCAGATGATGCACAGCAGTACAGATGGGAATTGGAAACACAGGGAATCTAGGACAGATGAACCACTCAGGACCAGGG